ACCTTTGAAGTTTGGCTCTTTGCAACGGTTCCAATCAAAAAGACATACATGATTCACAAAAGTCATCCATCATGCAACAGATACGGTTCTCAAGTTGTTTTCCGTAACCCACTTATGATTCAAACAATGAGAAGCCCCAAGAATATGTTTTTCTGCAAAGTCATCATCGAATCGCTGCTAAGCGGCGAGGCACAATCCTGCCCTCTCATTACCGACTCGTTTATCTTCTTTATCATCCGCTGGCTGAATGGATGAGATGACAGCTTGCCGCCGACAACAGGTTTTCCAACAACAGCGTCGCGCAACTACAATACGGTCTTAGAGAAAAATAGGTGCTTTATGAAAGGGTAGCCCGCTGTGGCATTCCACGCTGTGCGAGTCTCCGGCTTCTATTGAGCGTGCGAACGAATGGCAATTTTTCAAGAACGACCTCTTTCCGTTAAATTGGAGTGTAATTTAAACATCAACGTAAACTCGTTAATGCAGTGCAGCCCTCAACCAGTCACTCATGCAGTCACTTGCTTCATTCCTCCACAGCCATAATGAGCGAAAACACACATTTTCATTTGTTGGCAATAGCTAATTTTAAACAATCTTTACTTTATATCGGTCTTTTCAATTTTCTCGGCCAAGCGAAGCATCAACTGTCATGTTTGACTGTGAGGAGGTATCCGCTTAATTCCAGGGAATGCGTTTCCTTTCGGGTTGAGGGCAGAAGCTTCAGATTTTTTCACCTGCTTCGGTTCTGTGCCAATCGAAAAGGCTGAGTTCACCAATGCTAGACGCTTCTTATACTCGAGAGAATCTACGTAGGAATAATTTAATAATCTGATCATTGGACATTTTCAACGGAAACCACTTAATGATACAACTTCTATGAACAAGCGACCAGACCTTTTGCTACTTCGCCAATCTGCTGAAGTCCGCAACAATCTTATCGGAACTGTGATAAGTTATTTTGGAATTTGTTCCCACACTGGGTACCGTTGCATTGAGTACTATGGTTTGTTCGAGGGATAATAGCTTATTAAGCTTCTCTTCGAGGAGCGCTTAAAATGACATCTATTATGTTCACATGCAGGAGGTAAAACAAATAATTTATCTCTTCTGACTATCCCACATTGAGAAGCAAAGAGGTGGCCGGCCCACGTATGAATCATGTTTCATTGCGTAAACCACAGCTAAACTTAATCAAACTTTAGCTTTCATGTTGTTTGGTGTTAATGTCAGTGTAAATGGAGAAAAAATAAATAAAAACCGTGTCACGTGAATCGCAATTTCTGAAAAACAAGGACAAGAAGGAGAGAAAATGAAAGAGAAAAAGATGACGAAGAACGAATTTGATGTAAAGCCCGATGAGAATTGGGACCGCGTTGACTTTGCTTCAGGTATTCGAGCGAAGGAAAGCTCTGCCAATTGCATTTGTCGTCCGTCGAAACAAATATGACATGCAGAAGTGCGAGAAGTGTTATTAATTCGAAAAGTTAAGCACACTGGAACGAATACCGCATTCAAATACTGGAACAATAAGCATTACTGCTCTTGTCTTCGTGAGGCAAGAGTTTCTGCAAGAATCTGTAACACTCTCTGTGCTCGATCAATCGTGAAAGCTCGAAGGACCCCTACGCCACAAGTTACATATACGTTTATTTTTAATCCTAGACCTACCTTTGTTCGTTTCACTCATTTTTCTTTGAATACAGTTCGTTTGCGACTCTCAGTCTGGCAGAGTGATCATATACCGAAATCACCGCAGTTGTGACCTTTCCAATAATCGATAATCGAATTAACTTTTGTATACCTTGCACCATTGCATCGCCTACGACACTAGGTGCTGTATGGAATTCTAACGAGACCTATCCATCTGGTTGGAGTCTTCTAGCCGGCCGTCTGCCATTAGGCTTTGCATTTAATATTTGCTTCAAAACGCGGCTTCTTTCATTCGTGGGCAACGACCCCATCATTTTAAACGCCCTTGTTTGCAGCCAGTCGGCTCTTCAGTTAATATATTCTAATCTCCCTGCTATAACAGCATTTGACACCAGATCATAGCACTTTACTCTTAATTCTAATCCAATGAATTTAATTTTCTTCACGTATTATTTTGTTACAAAAACGTTTTCTAGGACTCTGCTGTCAAGCAACGAACTTTATTTTTATGAGAACATGTTTTAAGGTCTTTCTTTTTCTTCCCTTACTATTTTAATCGTTTTAATGTTTTTGAATCCTGACCACGCAATTTACGTTTAAAAAACCAACAGCTACATACCTTGCATGCAGGCAAGACCCGTCCATCCTGGAAGGCAGACTTTAGTACCATCCGAGGAACAATTGTAATGTCCAAATTCGTAGTCACGTGGCTCGCACTCTCTGGAACACTGTGGTCCATAAAACGTCTCTCGACATGAAACCCGCACGGAGTACTGAAGTTGGATCGCAACGTCACTGCTGTTCGTGCCATCTTCGACCACCGTCCATTTATCACCGACTTCTGAGTGAATAAGCAAAGGTTTCACCGACCGAAACACCAAGTATTGCTTGTCTAAAAAGTGGCCACAATTACGTTAATAAATGAAAAACTCTCCTTATTTCAGTACTTACTTGTGTACTTTTCCAAGTGATAAAAGTCTATGACAACGGTTATTTTGCCCTAAAAATATACATTAAAAAGAAACGGAACAAAATTAAAATGAAACAAGTTCTCAAACTTTTTCCCATGCACTAGCAAAGCACAATAAGTCAAATCTTTATGCAGAAAGTCATCTAAATCGAAGTGAAAACTGTTGAATTTCATGCATTTGACAGGAGCCATATATCAATAAAATGCACATTTTGTTATGTGAAATAATTCATGCTGGCTCTGCGCCAAATGACAGGATCAGGATTAGTGGCCAGATCTCGCTCTGTTCGCAAAATGTCAGACTTGGACTTGCAGCCGAAGAGTCGTAAGCTAAATTTACTGACGGACTAGCCTCAGTCACTTTCCCTTCTTCCGCGATAGAGTATCAATTGACGAGAAGAAAACAGCATATTGTACGTTGTACCTTACAGACAGCTGTTCGCATTGCTTACAGAAGTTGGGAATTCGAGGTGACAGCAACCAAATAAAACTACGGTCTCCTGACTAAAGTACTGTACACATAAGTACTATAAATGGCGCGAATCGCATGACTGCAAGAGCGATCGA